AAGGTGGTTGCGGCGGAGGCCGGGGGAGGCAGGCCCAGGGGCTTGCTGCCGGGCTCCAGCGTCATGTGCCGGGCTTGCGCGTGGTACGCCCGGGCGAGGTTGCGGATGGAGGCTTCCCGCGGCGGCACCACCGGGCAGGGCTCGTGGGCGTCGGGCTTGCGGAAGAAAGCCTCCGACTTGACGTAGAGCGGGAGGTTGCAGTAGTCGCCTGCGAGGGGAAGCGGAGGCGGGTGAGGCTCTGGCCCCCGCCCTTCAGGACCGCGCCACGCTGCGCCATTGCGTACCAGATGCCGTGTCTATAAAGTATTATAATCATCCCGTATTGCCCTAATGTGCAATATAATAATATAACGTACGTGTAGTAGAATAACATAACGCGTCATGCGGTTTGACGTGCTCTATACGTTGCGTTGCATAGAGCACGACGGCTGTTACGTAACGAGGTACCCTGGGATAAAAGAATGTTATACGCCACTATACGGCATCCTTACCTTCTTTTATATAAAACACGTCGTCTCTTATGCTTCCAGGTCTATTACGCAATATATTGCTAATAAATAACATCCCTGCTATAGCGTATTACATGTGCGTGCTACAAGGCAGCATCTGTGGTGGTATATATCGCGTCCTGCTCTGTGACTCTTTTGTGGAAATATTTGGACTGCGTTGGTAACATCTCTCACAGCCTCCAGTAAACAGCAGCGTTCTGTATTGCGTTTAGCAAATATTGTGCTCTGCTAACCTAAGGGGAAGGGGGGAAGAAATGCTAAAGAATACTAAGGAACAGGGACGATAGAAAGGGAGGAAAGGAACAGAAGCACCAATAGGAAGGAGAAATAGGAAGAAACGGAAAGAAAAGGGAAGAAACTGAAAGAAATTAAGCGAGAGGAGAAAAGTGGAGAGGAGAAGAGGCGCAAAGCAACGGGAAAAGGAGCAGAGAAAGCGGAGAGAAGAAAAAAACGTGAAGAGGAGGCAAGCAAAGCGAACCGAAATGAAGTGAAGAACAAGAGGAGCAACGCGAAGAGGAGCGGACGAGAAATGAAGCGAAGAGGAGAAAAACGAAGAGAAGAGCTGTAAGGAGCGGAGAGGAGCAAAGGGAAGAGAAGGGTACGTAGAGGAGAGGAGAGAAACCTGGAATTGTTAGATGTTGAGGAGGTTCTGCGGGGATCTTTCCCCGATTGTGCTGGGATCTAGAACAGATCCCTGCAGAACCTACTGAAATCGGCCAGCGCTTCCAGCAGAAAGCCTTACGAAAGCTAGAAAGCGAACACGGACAAGCAGAACAGGGGAAAGCTCAGTACTGCGGAGGGTGGGAGAGGGATGCTTTGCCCACCTCTCTCCTACCCTTCCCAGGAACTCTCCGACAGAGAAAAATACAAGAATAGAGGTACCGAACGACGGTACTGAATTAGAGGTACTGAATTACGGAACGCATCGTTGACGAGGAAGCCTCCGCCTAACGACAAAGCGCGCGCGTACGTACTCTTGCTGGCGCGGTGCGGGATGGGTACGGCCACGCTCTTGCCCCGCTCGCTGTCCTGGGGTTTGGGCGGGGAGGCTGTGAAGCGGCAGATGCCCGGCTCCGACGGGGTGCTCATGGAGGTCATGCTGTCGGCGTTGTCGGTGGTGCCGGTGGTCATCTGGTCCGAGGAGCTGTCGGAGATGAAGCACTCGGTGATCTCAAACTTGGCGTGCTGCAGCTGCTCCTCCAGCTTCGCGTGCTCGTAGGCGCGCGCCAGCTCCTCGTAGGTAGACGAGGCGCTCTCCGTTGACACCATGCTGTTCCGGCCCTTGTCTGCGGAGGAGAGGACGCGTCACGTACCTGGGAATCTTCCCTGGCCTGGGAAGGCCATTTTCCACGCGGCACATGTGGGAACGCCCAGACTCTCGAGCTGCACCCGGCCATCTGTCCCCGGAGCTGGGCACGACCCCCGCTGCTCAGGAGCCCCCACAGAGCTTCTGGAAAGGACCAGGAGGTGCCAGCACGGCCCCACAGGCACCAGGGCAGCCACATCGGTTAACCTGGAGCCCGACGACTCCCAGCAGAGCCGGGAGCGCAGGGGACATCACCACCAGCAGCTCTCGGAGAGCGGGCGACCTGGCACAAGGGCCCGTCACCTGCGTCGGCCCGATTTATGGTACTATTTGCAATCTTATCTTTACTAGAAATTGGAGTACGCGTTTCAACGCTGCTGCTTTCAGCCGTGGCTCTTGCAGCGGACGGCAGGGTCCCACGATCCCATTGACTTCTACTTCTGCAGTCACCCCAAACTCGTGGTTTGGGGTCCCCGGCAATGGGTAAGGTACGCCAAACCGGCAGATCGCTGCTAGCGGCAGCGCTGGCCTACCCGTGTCCTGCGAGAGGCTGGCGCTGTAGCTGTCGCTCTCGGTGACCGTGATGCCGTGCTGGGAGCCCACTGTCCTCCAGTCAGAGG